TTGTACTGAAAACGGGGAGGATAAGGGTGTTAGGGTGTCTTTGAGGCTAGGAGGGTTCTAGGATGTTCCTGGATGCTCTCCATCTCCATCCTCACTGTCTTCATCCTCTTACTGACCGTTTCTCCTCCTCCTCGTCCTCCTTCCCCTGCGTCGCATGGTGTGGGGACAGCTGGGGCGATTGAGGTCCGTCGCCACCGCTGGATCCGCTTCGAACTCCTGGTTAGAACGAGTCCCAGGACGGCTGTGTAGGTTCCAGTCCTCTTCCCTCGTCCTCCTGACCCAGTTCTCCTGGCGGCAAGAAAATAGGAACACGTTTGGAAGTGAATCTAAGATTTTGGTCACAGGGGGCCACTTCCGGGGCCTGGCCATCAAGACTGTTCCGCGGTAGAAATCATGCCCCGGGGATGTGGTCGAGAGCTCCGGGGGACCGACGACGGGAGGAAAAACACGAGGTCGGGGGTCTGCGGAATAGGACTCGGAACAAGATGCCAGGAGGGGCACGGGTCCGGGTGGCCACCCTTCTGAGCAGAGCCTAGCCTCGTAGAAGGCGTGACAGCTCCCGAGGGGCTGGTCCCCTCTCAGATGCCCTCCGCCACCCTCCGGCGATGGCCCCCTCTCGCCCTGACTCCTCGTGGACTCGCGGCCAGAATCGAACAAGAATTGTCCCAGTGCGACCCGACCTAGGAGTTGGAGTATTAAAGCAACATCTACATCTACACCGACAGCTACATTTACATCGACACCTGCATCTACATCTACATAAACATCAACAGCGAGACTCACATCTACATCTATATCTACACCTACACCTACATATACATGTACATCTACATCTACACCTACATCCAAATCTACACCTACACCTATGCTGTGCTGTGCTAATGCTGCGCTGCGCTGCGCAGGCTAAAGCTAAGCTAAGCGAAGCTAAGCTAAGCTAAGCTAAGCTAGGCCAGGCCAGGCTAGGCCAAGCTAAGCTAAGCTAAGTTAAGCTAAGCCAAGCCAAGCTAAGCTAAGCTAAGCTAGGGTAAGGTAAGCTAAGCCATGCTGCACTGCGCTAAGCTAAGGTACACTAAGCTATGCTGAGCCAAGCTAAGATACGCTAAGCTAAGGTAAGCTTGGTTAAGCTAAGGTATGCTAAGCTGTGCTGCGCTGCGCTAAGCTAAGGTTAGCTAAGCTATGCTAAGCTAAGCTATGCTAAGATGAGGAAAGCTAAGCTAAGCTAGGCAAGGCAAAGCTAAGCTAAGCTCAGCTAAGCTACGCTAAGATGAGATACGATAAGATAAGCTAAGCTTAGCTAAGCTAAGCTGGGTGAACCCAGGGGGCGCAACTGGGGGAACCGCGGGGCGGATCCTGGGGGAACCGCCCGGGGCGGGGAGCACTGCTTGGCCCTTTAAGCATACAGGGTAAGAACCCTCCTAGGCAGAGCCTAGGTAGGGAAAAACTGCGTAAAAATCCGTTTTCGCCGGTCTGCGCGGATTCCTTGGATCTGCGCTGAACCCCCTGGCGCCGCCCCTGGCGCGGTCCGCACGCCAGGGAGGGGTCAGCGCAGATCTAAGAAATCCGCGCGGACCTCAACAGTTTATGCCTACGCAATGTTTTTGTTCCCGTCGCGAAGAAGGAATGGAGTGGAGTGGAGCCCATCTCAGAGTCGCGATCCGAACAACAATGCACCTCGATGCCGACCGCGACAACAGACACGTGGAACTCTCACCTCGTTCCGGGCCCCTCCGCCACCGACAAGAGAACCCTGAACACTGCATACGGGCATGGAGGCGGCAGGAGCCTGCCCCTGCCCGTGCCCTTTGCACACCGCTCCCCTCGCCCCCCGCTCCTCACCCTGCCCGTCCTCCGCCTTCCTCCTCCCCCTCCTCCTCCTCCCTCCCTCCTCCTCCTCCTCCTCCTCCTCCTCATCCTGCCTCCTCCTCCTCCTCCTCCTCCTCCCTCCTCCCTCCTCCTCCTCCTCCTCCTCCGCCTCCTCCTCCTCCTCCTCCTCCTCCTCCCACTCAAGGTGCCACTCTTGCGAGGTCAACATCAGCATCGGCGCCGGCACATCCGTGGCTGGGCACCCGCCTAGCCCGGAGTATGCCCGCGAAGTTCCGCTCGGCTCGATCTGGGACGCAGTCTCAGCTCATCTGGCTCAATCTGGGTCCCTCCAATGAGATCACCAGTCTTCAGTGTTCTTGCGGAGACCTCCCAGCAGTTTCTTCTCTAATTAACCCCGTTCTCCACCCTCCCACCCCCGCTCGCGCACTTCTCCTGTGGTTGCCCGGCCCTCACTCTCCCTCAGCGCGCGCGCGCGGAGGCCCTTGTCCTCTCGAGTTTGGGCGCCCCGATCTGGGCGCACCCGGGGCCTGCCCAAACCACGGGGGCGGTGAGCTACAGACAGGGGCGCTTGTTGGGGGCGGGAGAGCCAACGGCGCCCCACACCTCGCGGTCAGTGCCAGAGCGCTGGCTGTCACCATCTGACCCGCGCGAGAGCGGGGGGGGGTCAATCGCGCGGGCCTCGGGGAGGGGAGGAAGGCGGGAGAGGGGTGCACAGGCGGAGGATGAAGAGGAGGACGGTGAGGAGGCGGGATGGGAAGTCGCGAGGAGGAGAGGGAGGGGGCCGAGGAGGAGGACGAGGATGAACTGGTAACCACTCGGTACATAGGCTCCGTCTTCAAGGAGGAGGTGGACGCTTAGGGCAACGCTGAAGGCAGCACTTTCTTGACGGAGCGTCTTCTGGCCTTGTGAATGAAATTTTAAACCGGTGTACTGAAATCGATGCCCGCAAGGGCTTTCCCACTGTTGACTCACATGAGTGTCATTGTTTCTCGCGCTTAGCTTACTGCAGCGAGGCGATCAACTATTGCTCATCAAACTCGCCCGATTACGTTTTTGGTTGTCTTTTTGGTTGTCGTTGCTCTACATGTTCAGGCGCGCTGCGTCTCCGCTAGGAAGAGCCAGCGCAACGAGACCGGGCAGGGTTGTAGTAAACTCCGGTGCCGCGCCAGACTTATCTTTCAGACGTCCTTCGAGAGCCTGTAGAGACCCGAGCAGAGCCAAGAACGTCCCGGAAACCTGCTCAAGCTTCATTTCTCGACTTTCGAGAGTCAGGAGCAGAACTGTTGTCGATTCGCCTATCCACACCAACCTATGAGAAGTGAGATGCCCAGGCGAGTTCTCTTGCGAGTCTCGTAGAGGTATCCTGGAGCCACGTTGAGGGGAGGGGGTAAAGGATAGGGAGAAAGGCGGGAGCATTCCTCCCTTGCGTGTCTTCGGCCCTGTTAGGCCAACCGAGAGGCTGAACCCATTCTTGATAACAGCTCTTGTAATACGAAGATGCTCAGCAATGAGTTTGATACGAAGCGGATCGAGACGCAAGGGGAACACGTAGTAACAGTAGTGGGAGGTCAGTAGTAATAGCAGCAGCAGCAGTAGTAATATTTGTAGTAGGTTCGGTCGTAATAGAAGTAGTCGTCGTAGTAGTAGTCGTAGCAGCTGTAACAGTAGTAGTCGTATTATCAGTAGTCGTACAGCTAGTAGTACATGTAGTAGTACTAGTCGTAGTTGTAGTAGTAGTAGTCGTCCTAGTCGTCGTGTTATGAGAAGAGTGGTAGTAGTAGTCGTAGTCGTAGCAGAAGTAGTAGTAGTAGTAGTAGTAGTAGTAGTAGTAGTAGTAGTAGTAGTAGTAGTAGTAGTCTTATATGTACTAGTCGTAGTCGCAGTAGTAGTAGTAGTAGTAGTAGTAGTAGAAGTAGTAGTAGTAGTAGTAGTAGTAGTAGTAGTAGTAGTAGTAGTAGTAGTAGTAGGGTTGCACCTGGTCTTCGTGTCGCTACAAACCTCACCTTCGTGTATTCTTTTTTTTGTATCAGGCCTAATCGAACTCCTACCAGGGGAATTACGAAAACCGTAGTTTCAAACCTGGCCTTCGTGTCTTTCGCGCCAATGCCTACCTTCGTGCACTATTCGCTGTAGAGGCTGTGTAGATTGGATTCGTATTAGAAAGTGATCAACAAACGAGAGTTTTACACCTGTCCTTCGTGTCGACGTCGGACTTGGAGCAACCGCCACTGCCAGCCGCTTCATTTCGGCACAACCCTCTCGAGGATCGTGGGCCTGGCCCTCCGACGCGCGATTCCGGCGCGCACTTCACTAGGATCGTGGCCCTGGTCCAAGTGGGAGCGCTGCCGAAGGCCCACCGACGTCCAATTCCGGCACGCCGCTCACGAGGATCGTGTCCTGGCCCACCTGGGAGCGCTGCCGACGGCCCACCGATGAGCAATATCGGCGCACCCCTCACACGGATCGTAGACCTCGCCACATTTGGATCGCCGCCCGACGCTGAAGTTCGGCACACCTCTCACATGGATCGTGGCCCTGGCCCAATGTGGAGCGCTGCCGACGGCCCGCCGACGCCCAATGCCGGAACACCCCTCACGAGGATCGTGGCCCTCTGGTCCACTTGAGAGTGGGTTTTCATAAGGACGTCTTTCTGGTTTTATTCGGGAAGGCATTTTGGTGTTATTCGTTTCTGGCTCGTCATGGTTAGGAGGACGAGGAGGAGGAGGAGGAGGAGGAGGAGGAGGAGGAGG